AGTGAGTGAGTGAGTGAGTGAGTGAGTGAGTGAGTGAGTGAGTGAGTTGTGGCACAGTGGCTAGAGAAGGTGTGCTTGTGATCGAAAAAGCCCAGGTTCAAATATCTACATGGATGAAATGGGTCCCAACCCTGAAGCAAATGTCATTTCTGTGGAACAATATTGGAGAAAACAACATGCTGCTCTAAAACAAAACAAACAAAAACAATGCAAAAGTCAATAAATCTCCAACGTCATCTACTTGAGCAGATCTACTCCGAGCTCCCCTCAGATGATGGAGCGCCTCACCATCTCTAAGTGGCTCTACTGCAACAGAAGCTCATTTCAGCTGCTTGTGTCCAGGATCTTGTTCCGTCAGTCCTGATCCATACCTCATGGCCGTAGGTGAGGGTTAGAACGTAGACAAACTGCTAAATCCAGAGCTTTGGCATTCTGCTGAACTCTTTCTTCACCATGGCCAACTGAAGCAACACCCTCATTACTGACAACAAGCTCGACTTTGCACCAAGAATGCAAAGCCAGGTCCTGCTTTGACCTAATATCCTAAAGGCAACGCAGGCACCCCATACTCCTGCAGCACCTCCTACAGAATGCCTCAGGGAACACGGCCATAAACCTTCCCCAGGTCCACAAAACACATGCAGACCTGAGAGTTTAACTCCCATTAGTTCCTTATCAACTATGTAAGGGTGAAATCCCTAAATGTGGAATATAAATGTGTTCATTGGCTGTTTAATTCTTTATTCTTGTTTGACAGATGATGTGACAATCATTTTGATCTGTTCTGGCCCTATTTAGAAAGGATTTCACAACCATTAATTCAACCTTTATTTAGACAGGTTAATCCCATTGAGTCTCGAGGATTCATTTACAAGAAAGACCTACTTTCTACAAAGAATGATGACAACAATGGACAAAAGTGGACTAGAATAGACAGTTATAAAAAGGCATACAGATTTTTTAAATACAAATAAGATGGCAAAAAAAAGTAACAAAAACAGCTAGATTATAAGGTGAATGTAGAAAACTAAAAACAGGAACATGTCTGCATTAGTCCCCGCCAGGAGTCCAACAGATGCTTAAAGCCACTTAGAGAGATCAAGGTCGAGAGCTTCAGATCTTTTTGCAAGATATTCCAGGAAACAGGAGCGGAGTAGGAGAAGGCCCTTTTGCCAAGTTCAGTCCGCACTGAGGGAACACTGCAGGTAATAATGTCCTGAGAGCGCACGCTGTAGTTACACTCACTCAGAGACACGTAGGAAGAGATGTATGAAGGCAACACACCAAGAAGTGATTTAAAGATGAAAATGCACCAGTGAGAAAGTCTGCGTGAAGTAAATGATGTCCAGTTAACCAGTGAATACAGGGTGCATTAGTGGGTACGACAATCACAGCCAGTTATGAATCTTAGTGCACCATGATAGACAGCATCCAACATCTGTAGGGTGCTTGTAGGAGCGTTCTTGTAAATAATGTCACCGTAATCAATGGAGAGAAGGAAAGTTGCAGTTACAAGGCGTTTCAAAGTTAGACAGGATCTATTTCTGAAAAAGAAACCCAGTTTAACTTTCAGTTTCTTTACTAGGTTTTCCACGTGGAGCTTAAAAGAGAGATGTGAGTTGACCAAGATACCCAAATATTTATAGGAATCAACAAACTCAATGGGGACACCATTTGAGGATGAAATCTGAGGAAGAACTGCTGGGACTGACTTCCTGTTTGAAAAAAACATCCCTTTGGTTTTATCGGCATTTAAGACAAGTTTGAGGCAGAACAAATCAGACTGGATGATGTCAAATGCGGATTGCAAAAGCTGGAAAGCCTTTTCAACTGTTTTAGCTCAACAATAAACAACTGTGTAATCAGCATAGAAATGTACAGATGCATCAAGAATGCTCTGGCCTACATTACCTATGTAGATTGTGAAGAGGGTGAGCCTTGTGGTACACCATTGTTGACTGTTAAATAACTGGCGGAAGTACCATTATGTTGAACACATTGCCTCCGATCTGAGAGATATTTAGAGAACCAACCAATGGTGTGTTCTGAGAAACTGATTTCTGAGAGCTTATTGTTGAATGGATTGTAGCGCAGAGGTGCCGGCGTTGCAGAGAGACAGAAACAAGTGAGTCGTTGGGTCTCTTCAGCCTCTTTCTGGCATATTTATTGAAGACCTTCAGTGCTGTACGCACACAGCTCGTGTTCACAGAATGCCATTTTTGTCTTCTTCACTCAAGACGTAATAATGTAACGCACGTACATACCAGAAATATACAAAATAAAATACAAGAGTAGGTGGCAGTATTAGAACACATTTTTGAGTAAGAGCGTCAATAACAATAACGTTTAACACCCCCACTCGCTTGTAACTCATTTGTTAGTCCTGAAAACATATAAAACATAAGGTCTTTCTTACCAGAAATGAAAATGTCTCTGCATATTTATGTTCCAAACATGCCCTGAGTAAATTTTCTCAGTTTCAACTTAGTAGCAGGTTTTGTCATCAAATCTGCAATCATTTTATCAGGTGGACAGTACTCAAGCACTATTTTTCCAGTGTTAACAATTTCTCTAATAAAATGATACTTAATATCAATATGTTTGCTTCTTTGCCTGTTCACTGGGTTCTTAGCAAGTGCTATAGTACCTTGGTTGTCTTCAAACACTTTTGTTTGTACATACTCGTAACAATCTATGCCTTTCAGAAATTGCTCTAAATAGAGACATTCTTGTACAGCTGATGCTAACGATATATACTCTGCCTCACAGGTAGACAATGCCACTGTTGTTTGTTTCTTTGTCTTCCAAGAGATCAAAGAACTTTCATCATTTAAATTAGCACAATATCCTGATGTGCTTCTTCTATCTGTTGAATCTGATGCCCAATCGGCATCACAGTAGATTTTTAATCCGAGATTTTGTGAGTCATTTCCTTTAAAACTCAACTCTTTTTCTGCTGTACCCTTAAGATATCGGAAAACATGTTTTACTGTATTCCAGTATTATATTCCATATTGTTCTCTATTGTTGGTTCAGTAAAGTATTGAGAAAGTTTACTGACCACAAAACTTATATCTGGTCATGTACAAGTGGACAAGTATATTAAACTTCCCACTGCTTCTATGTATTTCCTTGGGTCTTCCATTTTATCTCCATCATTTGAGTATTCTAGCTTTGGCTCACATGGAGTGTCTCTGGGTTTACAATCCTCCCTTCCAAATCTCTTTAATATTTTGGTCACATCATTTTTCTGTGACATTTTTACTTGTTTTTCTGTTTGGTTAAAGTCTATTCCTAGGAAATGTTTCAATCTTCCTAGATCTTTCATTTTGAACTTTTCATTAAACATCTTCTTTACTCCCTTCAAAACTTCTTCACTATTAGCTGCTATGATGAGGTCATCCACCCATACCTGTAAGATGATCTTTTCACCGTTTGTCTCTCTAGTATACAAGCACTGATCACTAGGATTTTGTTTGTAACCATATTCATTTAAATACGCATGAAGTAAAGCATTCCAGTTTCTGCCAGATTGTTTTAAACCATACAAGGACTTTTGTTACTTGCAAACAAGTTTTTCTCCTGTGTTAGACTTCTTCTCAAAAACTTCTGGTTGATCTATATAGATTTCATGATCAATAGGTGCATGCAAATATGCAGTCTTAACATCCATCTGATGTAGAATTAAAATTTCCTGTGCTGCCTTTTGCGTAATCTCTCTTACACTTGTCATGTCAGCCGTTGGTGAAAATGTCTCTTCATAGTCAATGCCTTGTTTCTGATTGTAACCTTTCGCTACATACCTTGCCTTGTATTTATCAGATCCATCAACCTCATTTTTCATTGCAAAAACCCATTTATCCCCCAGTGTCTTTTTGCCGGGCAGCACGGTGTGAGAGTAGCACTTGCTGCAGCTTCCAAGATGGCTGCCAATCACCCCCAGCTGACGGTCATCTCCCTGATGAGCTCCTGCTCCTATTTAAGCCTGCAGTCAAGTCTACTCGACGCTGGAGCATTGAGTTCCCCCGGTACTTAATGTTTCTAGCCGTTTAATGTTTCACGGAATACAAGTCTTACCTTGTGATCTTGTTCCTACAGTTCCTCGTCGCCTCCTGGGTCCTGTCCTGATTCCACGGGTTCCAGTCCTCAGATCTCTCGTGCCTTGCCAAGCTCTGATCTCTCGTGCCTTTCTACTCAGTCTCTGG